TAATAATAATAATAATAATAATAATAATATAATAATAATAATAATAATAATAATAATAATAATAATAATAATAATAATAATAATAATAATAATGATAATAATAAGGAAATAAAATTGCAATAGAGTTGTTTATACTTATGTAATTTCCATTTAGTATGAATTATTATTAGTTGATTGTATAATATAATAGCAAATCATATATAATTATACTTAATAAGGTATATTAATGTGAAAGGTAAAGAAAATATTAATGGTAGACTTTTGTAACCGAAATTGGAGGGAAAACAAAATGTTTTTATTAATTGTTTTGCTAGAAATTATATATACTAGTTATCATCCTGTGCACATGCAAAGATGTACATAAAATGTTATAAGTAATATGTGTGAATTTAATATTAAAATTATAGATGATTAACATATCACATTTTCAAGATATGTGAATTTAATATTAATATTCTAGATAATAAACATATCACATTTTCAAGATATGTGAATTTAATATTAAAATTCTAGATGTGGACATACCACATTTTCAAGATTTACTCATTAGGAAAAATAAAATAATATTTATATAAATTATTTGAGTACATATGAATCACTATATTGATTAAAAAGAATTGTGGGTAATGTAATTTTTATAATTTGGGGGGATCATGGTCAAATAATTTTGGATAAAATACTTTATCTCATCCGAACTATCACGGTTTTAGCGCATCACCATATAAACTATTTTTGTTTTTTTTTTACAAACCACCATATGAACCATACGGGTTTGTCAATGTGCCTCATAAACCGGATATAAAAGTGGTTTAGGGGGCACATTGACAAACCCGTGATAGTTCATATGGTGGTTTGTAAAAGTATTCAGGGGACACATATGGTGACCAAACAACTTTTTCAGTCAAAACCACTTTTATATCTGGTTTAGGGGGCACATTGACAAACCCGTATAGTTCATATGGTGGTTTGTAAAAAAAAAAAAAATAGTTTATATGGTGATGCGCCAAAAACGTGATAGTTCAGATGGGAAAAAGTATTTAAAACTTTATTATTGTTATTATTATTATTATAATAATAATTATTATTATTACCATTCTTATGACAACGACAATTGTTTATAAAATTTTAAAGTTTTTTTACTATACTATTAAAACTATTTACTAATTGTTTCTAAAGAAAATTATTTCCAGAAATACAAAATTAAAATAATAATAATAATAATAATAATAATAATAATAATAATAATAATAATAACATTCATAAAACCTAATTAAGTGTAATCATGTATTTATAAAACCTAATTAATAAAATCTCATTTATTTTTCCTCAAAAAGAAGTTACAAAATTTGTCATTCATATTTTGCCTTTCACATTAATACACCCTATTAAGTGTAATCATGTATTTTTTTGCTATTATACTATATAATAGTTAATGCTATTACCAACTCATAATATTTCACACTAAATATAAATTACTTAAGTATAAACAATTTTATTGTTTCAAGATATTATTATTATTATTATTATTATTATTATTATTATTATTATTATTATTATTATTATTATAATAATAATAATAATTAT